CTTCCTGTGCAATTCCCGCTGTATCGTTCATGAGTAACTCCATGATTTCAAAGTAACGCATTTTCAACATACATTCGTGACTATACGAAATCATTATCGTTTAAAAAAATCGCGAGAGCTCACGTCAATCATTTACTTTCTGTTCAAACTAGACAATATTAACCAAATTTCCAGTGCAATTCCCGCTGTATCGTTCATGAGTAACTCCATGATTTCAAAGTAACGCATTTCCAATGCACATTCGTGATTATACAAGAAAATTATCGTTTAAAAAAATCGCGGAAGTATACGTCAATCATTTACTTTCTGTTCAAACAGCGCAACGTAAATTTGAAACTAAATATATTTGTAAGTTAATCAAAGTCCTTACTATATTTCCAAAAACTGACCTATCACACTTAGAAATGCATTAAAATACCCCGAAGCATAGACATAAAATACGTTGGATTTGTAACTCCAAGAGCCGAAATCTCAGACTTTAAAAGGCGATAAAATACCTCAAAACTTCTCACTAAATCTCAGAAATTTCAGTTTTACCGTCTGTTTACTAGTTTTATATATAGGGCACTATGCATGACGTTCGCTCTGGTATTTGCCTGGCGCTTTCCTAGGTCGCCTAAAAATGTAGTCGGGTCGGGCTTCATCTTAGCTCTAGTAAGAAGTGCTGTACAGTGTACAAAACTGCTATGCGTAAAAAAGCCACATTGTCATTCTTTGTGTTGCAAATTTGTTCCTTCGAGAAGATCGTAAAAAGGAAACTTTGACAGATTAGACTTTAAATTTAATTTCATTTGTTTTTTTGAAGATTTACGTATTTGAGTCGCCACCGATCCTAATATCCAGTATAATTAATCAAAGCTTTCTACATCTTTTGACGACCCACTAAGATTCCTTTTGCGACCCACCAGTGGGTTGGGTTTGGGAACCACTGCTATACACTCCAGTGTTTTTCAACCGGGGTGCCGCGGCACACCGGTGTGCCGTAGAATGTTGTCAGGGGTGCCTTGGGAATTCTTCATTTTGTGTGTATATGAGGTGTTGTGCCCGTTTGAGTAATCATGTAGTACTGTTCCATATCAAAAGGTGGCAGCAGCAGGTGGCGATTTGCATGCATGGATGCAGCGCAGGTAATTGTGACGTCATACAGACGTCACGTGATACGAGCCCGCATTCGACTGACTCAGACTCAAGGTCATTCCCGCTCTTCCTGACTGCGCTTTGCATTTGTGATGGAGAAATTTTTGAAAAGAAAAAATGCGGACATTGTACTGGACCCTGGACAAAATCCGGGCCCTAGTATGAGTGGAGGTGAAAAGAAAGCAAAGCCAAGGCAATACAACGAAAACTATCTTTCATTTGGATTTACTTGTACTGGAGATGCAACGGCACCGACTCCATTGTGCTTGGTATGTGGTGAAACGCTCTTCAACGGTGCTACGGTTCCAAGCAAGCTCAAACGACATCTTGAAACTAAACACACCTTACTTCAAAACAAAAATGTGGATTATTTTGTTCGCCTGCGTGATCAGACAAATAAGAAAGAGAAAAACCAAAAAAGTAAACGCGAGAGCCCTTAAAGCTAGCTACCACGTAGCTGAACTTGTGGCTAAATCAAAAAAGTCCCACACTGTAGCAGAGCAATTAATACTTCCCGCCTGCAAAGTCAATGTAACTGAAATGCTCGGGCCCGAAGCGGCTAAAGAAATAGCCAAAGTCCCTCTTTCAGATATCACAATTTCCAGACGCATCAATGAGATGTCTGCAGACATAGAAAGTGTTGTTTTGGACAAGATCCGTATCGGTAATAATTTGCTTCGCAACTTGATGAGTCTACTGATATTACTGGGAATGCTCAACTCTTAACTAATGTGAGGTTTGTGGATGGAGACACAATCAGAGAGGACTTTCTATTTTGCAAGGCTTTGCCAGAAAAAAACAAAGGGAGAGGAAATTTTTCACGTAGCATCAGAATATCTAGAAAAAGGAAGACTTACGTGGGACAACTGCACGAGTGTCTGCACTGATGGAGCTGCAGCCATGGTTGGGCGCACCAAAGGCTTTGTAAGCAAAGTGAAAGAGAAAAACCCCGATGTGATTACACCGCAAAGCATAGATACAATAAATGGATTCCGTTCCAAGGTGCAACTCGGGCAGCGACATGTGGGAAATGGCAATCTTAAAATGTTCCCACTCAACAATAAATGTCAAGGTGTTAATACTGCTGCACTTTGTGAGGTAATAGTTGAACATTTAAAAATTCTTGAGCAGAAGATATCTTTTTATTTCTCTCACAGAGTACTTTGACTGGGTTAGGGATTCATTCAGCTCAGCATCAGCTTTTGGAATGGACATGACTTTGCAGGAGCAGAAGGAAATAACTGAACTGAAACAAGATCGATGTCTCAAGCTAAGCTTTGCTGATCTACTTTTGGACAGTTTTCTAGTTTGGCAGCTGCCAAGGAGTTCCCCATGTTGGCTCAAGTTGGCTAAAAGTTATTTTTTTAATTCATTAGGCGGTTGAAGAATATATACTTTGCAGTATTGTTATTATACGTTTGTGTGAAGTTCGAGTAGAGGTCGAGGAGGGTTCAGAGGTCATGGAGGGTTTAGAGGTCGTGGAGGTGGTTTCGGTGACCGAAATGAGAGAGATAGAGATGAAATTGACCCTGAAGAATTAGAATATATGAGGAAACGTCAAGAGGTGGGTATTCCAGGGATTGTTTACAAATTTGAAAATGAGTTCTCATGACCAGAACTCCAGAGAAATGTTCCAAATTCTACAGTGAAATTAAATTCCGAAAGTTTCACAAAACTAATTTTTGTTATACCAGCTGACTGTTTGTCAGTATGAGTTATCTTAGAACGTCCGCAAAGATACTTCTCCTTATTTCACTTTGAGTCTTGTGCCACAGCGAACATCAATGATTAGTTTTTTTGCACTTCAAACTGTCAGTGTGGCCAGTGAAAACAGACCTCGAACTCCTGATAGAACTAGAATAAAGAAAATCGGAATAAAGCTATGGCCTACCTAACCCTAACCTGGTACACATACTACGGGAGTACCCATAAAGGGGTGAAAACACAGCTCAATTTCCCACTGCAATAAAGGAGTGTTAAGATTGACAAACCGGGTTTATAAATTCTTTATGCCAGCTCTGATTCATACCTTTCATGACGACTGTGGCCGCTTTTCTGCTCACAAATTAACCCCGCCAACTTGTATTGAAAATTAATATCATCAACGACTACCGAGTTCAACAACTAAAAATAACTAAACTAAAAATTCTTGGTGTCACTTTAGATTTGAACACTAACACACAGGTACTATACTTTAACGAGGTGTGTGTTTACTCCTTGAGGAATTTTGGACATCAAGGTATTTTTATGCTGCAGTTTACTGGTATCCAAATATAGTTTGTACAAGCACTAACTGCTACTATTATTTGCCACAGCTAGGAACGGTCAATTCAGAATGCTACTATGTCTCATAAAAACTGGTGCTTCGGAATGATATACACCAAGATGGCGCACAACCTGAACCCTAACCTGGTACACATACTAGTTTCAGGTTGTGCGCCATCTTGGTGCACATAGTTTGTGAGCACATAAAAACTTGCCAATGTTCTAGTGAACCAATCTCTATTGTATAATTTGTCTCTGTCCATATTGGCAGGTTTTAAAGAAGCATCGAGAGGAAGAGGCAGAAGAAGTTGGAGCCTACGTCGCAGAAGATGTTAATGCTGATGCTCTCGCTGCTATGGGTCTACCAGTCGGATTTGGGATGCTTCGACAGACAGAGGAAGAGAATGGCCAAGGTAATTATTGCCAAGAGGAATTGGTGTGTTGCTCATTCTATAATAACAAAAGTCTGAATGTATAAGTGATTTGAAAAATAATAATCATCGGAAGTGTACATTACTGTGTAATGCCCAGTAAGTTGAGGTTAACATCCGTTCACACACATTCAGTTCGCCCACAACTTAATCTTATTGAATCATAACTTGAAACTTTCAAACGTCCGTCTACAAGAATTTAAATACAAAATTAAGTGATATATTAATGAATATTGCAAATGATATAGGCATAAGTATCCATTTGGTTTTGCTAATTCAAGAATTATACTATGGAGTTTTTCAACCGAAGAATGAAAATAGGGCATACGCAGAGAATAGTTCTTATCTAGCTACCAATGGCATTTAAAGATGTCTGCATTGTTCGCTTCAGTTATGCTATGAATTGTTACATCACAGATACATATTTAAAAGTATGATCAATGTATTCCATGCGGAACACCAGAGTATGTGCATTAGTTGATTTAGTTTCTTATCCAATACCTCTCAGTGACATTTTTTCCTAATTTTCTCAGATTCTGAGAGAAGAGAAACAACAACGATGACAGGAGAGGTCAGTTATAGATTTCAAACCTGCTCAACAATTTATTTTGGGAATCTAAATTTAGGAAAGCATTTGGGATATTTTTTCCTTTTTGAAAATCATAATTGGCAATGTGGCTGGCTCATCTTGCTTAACGTTAGGAATACGCTCGTTTCGCACCTGTAATAACCTGTGTGGGTTCGAGAGGATTGCTGGGCTCCGCACCGCCGCAGGGCGGTTCACGTAAACCACTGGTCGGTTACGGCTTCCTCCACCCAATTCCATGCATGTGAAACAAATTACTGGATTGCAAATCCCATACCCAACATGGAGTAGTAACCGGACGAGAGGCCGTGGTTCGCCATGTAAATAAGCTTTTCTTTCCCCCGGGATAAATATAAATCATTTTACCTCTTTCTTGATATATGTAGAAAATAGAAATCAATCTAACCATCGTTATTTCACAATCAATTTAAAATATGAATAATATTTAATATGTGAAAATATATTATCGATTATTTTCAGAATTGTAGGTTATTCTTGGTTGGTCATCCCTGTTTTGTACCAAAACTCAATTTCAAATAAAACTCAAAACTAAATCCATTAATTTTTCATTTCAGATCGTCATGGTGACAGAGACCAGGTATTTCACATTCTTTTATGTTCGTTCCACCTGAAGTGAGCTGAGGTACGAGGGTGACTCTCCGTTATGGTACGGAGTACTAAAGAGACCGCAAGAAGAACATGGCCTTGAATCTTGAGCCCATAATTGTCTTGCATGGATTATCAAACCCAAAACACTGTGGTTCACATGGTCACTACAGCGTCCTGCGCCATCCATGACCATGAGTTGTTAACACATACTGGACATGGTAACAGGACGAGAGGTTTGCCGTATGCTTAAAATAATAAATATATATATGTCTCTTGGAAAGTCTGCGTTTACTACCATTTTCGACTTTGAGCTGAGGGCTTGTAGCTTGCACTGAGCAAAGATGTAATATAACAAAATGTAATTGAACACGTTTGCTTTTTGATTATGCGGATATTAGAAACGATATGTTGGTCTCCAGAATTAGTTTTATCCAAGATGGTATATTTTTGAATTAGTGAGAATAGAAATTTGAAAATGTCTTGTTTCAGCTCTTAGCATCAAATACCCTTCAAATTCAATATTTCGAAATATTGATTGATTGGCGCTCCCGAAGTATGTGCACCAGAATGGCGCACAACCTGAACCCAAACCCGGTACACATACTATGTTCAAGTTGTGCGCCATTTTGGTGCACATACTTTCTGGAGCTCTGATTGATTTTTGCGAACTTTATGCGGCCCAATTTATAATACTTGTACTCCCTGATGCATTTAAATAGCAATTCATTTTTTCGCTTTTGACCCCCAACTGTGAACCTTCAGAAAATCTGAGTGAACCGATGTTTTAACTTAGTATCGTGGTGACGGCGTCGTCGAAGTCGAGACAACAGTCGTGAGAGAGATCGAGATTCTTACCGACAACGTCGTGATCAAGATGATGACGGAGAGACAGAAGCAAAGAGAAGACACGTCGCTGAAGGTTTTTTTTCGAATTGCTGAAATAGTCTCGGAATGAAATATTCCTGCATATCTTTACTAATTCTTTGATAATATATATCCCCTCCCTCCAAACCAGGTATGGCAAAAAACAGAAATCTGCTGTTCTGAGTTCCTTCCAAGTTAATATTTTGAAACATGAATGATGGAATAGAGATGGGGAATAGTGACTTTTTGATATTCTGCAATTGTGAGATTATTTGACTTCGTAAACTGGCAATAATCGAGCACTTTTTGAAGTTTGCTTCACTTTGCAATATTCAAATTCTGAAAATTACAATCTGTTTAGTTCAAATTTTATGCGATTTTATATCAAAGTTCAAATCGCCACCCTAGGTTTGTCAGTGGGGAACTCTGGTATTTTTTCCTGTGGTATTTAATTATTTTCGCATATTCCCCTTCTCCAGAGATCGACAATGATAAACCGGAGGTGATGGCAGTACTCGATCAGGTTGGGCAGACAACGACGATTCATTACCATATCAAGAAGAAATCAATGGCACGACTCCTGAAAACAATGGCACGACTCCTGAAAACAATGGCACGGCTCCTGAAAACAATGGCACGGCTCCTGAAAACAATTGCACGTCTCCTGAAAACAATGGCACGGCTCCTGAAAACATTGGCACGACTCTTGAAAACAATGGCGCGACTCCTGAAAACAATGGCACGGCCCCTGGAAACAATGGCACGGCTCCTCCTGTAGTTGCAAACTGATCTCTCATACAAGTATAAGAGTCCTAATCTTACAATAGGCTTGCATTCCTATGCCAGACCTCCGTACGACAGCACAATTAGTTGGTTGACTGCGTTGGAAGCGTCTTGTTGGGTTTCTCTCTTTCAGTGTGAAAATGAAATCCCATACAAAATCATCAGTAATTGATACTGAATGCTGTAATTTGGGTGCTCCCGAAGTATGTGAACCAAGATGGCGGACATCTGAACATAGTAGGTTAGGGTTAAGCCATAATTTATTTCCAATTTTCCTCATTTCCTCAAGTTTAGGGACTACCCAATTGACTCCGTAGTATTTGTACCTGAAATTATGGCCTAACCCTAACCCGGTACACATACTACGTTCCGGAGTCCACCATCTTGGTTCACATACTTCGGGAATGCTGTAATTTGACTTTTTTTATTCCGTTTTAATTTTTACTTCTTTTCTTTACGCTCACGAAACTGAATGGTTTTCCGAATTGATGATTTTAAGAATATCTGCCTCTTGCAAGGACACTTGTCCTCATTTCCCTGGACTGTTTCTATCAGGACGATGAATGTTAAAGCTTTTTTTCGTATACAAATTATGGCTTCTCTATTTCTTGGCCATAATGAAGTGCTGGTCTGTATAGAGCAGTGTTTATTTCAAATTGAGCACTTTTTACAAAACAGCGCTTCAAACAATTCATCTGCAGACTTTTCTTCTGAGACTAATTAAGACTAAAATGAGGTATTGAGAAATTCACAATCGATAATTGCCGAAATTTGACAATACAAAAAATTGACTTAGACTTTAGCTCTGAATTGTAAAAACAAGGAAAAATTAAATTTAGATGATTGAAACTTCTTTAATAGATTGTTAAGAAAGCTTAATGCCTTGCTGTATCAAGTTTTGCTTTCTGTCTGAGCCTAAAACTCGTTTGGAAATAGCTAACTCTAACAGTCGAAACTAGTCACTAAATTTGTGAGCAGATGACTGACATTTCTTTGCGATAGAGAATGAATGTTTCAAGATTTCGGGATTACAAAAACCGCTTAGACATATTTTTATCGATAATTTAGTCTTGAGCACAAGAAAAGGCCATAAGACGGCTTGAACATATCAAAGCTTCTCGTCCGATTACCAGTCTGGTGTGGTATTAGCCAACCATTTATTTGTTCAGATGCATAGACTTGATTGAGGAGAAAGCCGCAAATGACCAATGATTATGAAAACCACCTTACAGCGATGAGTAGTCCAGCGAATAATTATCTCCCACTAGATAACAATCTTTATTTAACGCTACGCGCGGAGGGACAACAGCCAGCTGGATATGGTGGTAATCTAAATATGTATCTCCTTTGTGAACTAAAAGGCGTTTATATGAAGACGATAGGAAGTGGTTGCCTATACCAGGGCTACTCAGCTTGCGGTCCGAATCCGGATCTTTCGAGTATTCGATTTGGACCGCACCTAATTCTTTATTTAGGATCCCTAGCCCCACTTTTGAAATTTTATATTTTATAAAATGACTTTTATAGTTTTGAATACATATGAGAAGAGCTATAACACCATAATAAACAGTCTCGATTATCTAATGATCATTAGCCGGTCGAGGAATTACGCGTTTAGGGATGCCGAAATATAATTTCTAGAGAGACCGGACCTGAATAATTTTGTAAGCGGATCTATGATAAAAATAGTTGAGTAGCCCTGGCCTATACCAAAGTTTCAAAGTCGAAATTCTCTTCAACCTTCATTCCGAGTGCAGAGTAAATATTAGCAAGTCCTAGAGAACCATAGTTAGGGGTTTGGCGTAAAATAAATTTATCCTAGATACACATCCCTATTGAAATTCCGATGCTAAAATATTATGGACCAGAGACCTAACCACCAATTCATGACTATGGTGGGCTGTAGTGGAGAACAAATGATATTTGCTATCTTAAATACCCCCGTTAAAAACTCTCAATCATCTCCTAAATTTGGGCTAAACAGAGAGATAGAAAGCTATATTTTGTAACAAATAACCATAAATTTTGGAAATAATGACATCAAGACTAAAAATGATTCCTAAGTCCTAAATATTGGAGAGTATTCAAGAACATTCTAAATATGATATTTCAACATAACGTGCAAAATAGCGAATAATTTCCCAATGTGATATGTTGAATGACCTTGTTTTACATGAATAATCAGTGTAAAAACGGTCTCGAATATTCGAGAAAATTGTGTACCCCTTTAAATGCGATCTCAAACGTACAAGAGATCATCGTCTTTATCGTCAAATATCAATAATTCTGATGATCGCTACGCTACTGTTACGAATAATAACTTGAAAATGTAAGTTGGTTTATTTGATTTAATTTATTGTAATATAATTATCGAAGAAAATAAAATCTACACAGGCAATTGTCTAGAACCTTGCTGTTATATCAAATTAACAGACGTTTCGACTTGAACAAGTAACAACCGATTATATTCTGTTTGGAGTCAGATTAATATCTAACTAGTTTAATTAGCTTAATTAGCAACTACAACAAGAGTCGTCTCAATTTCTTAGGGTTGGTTTTGTATTTTTAATACAAGTAGAATATGAGCAAAGTTAATTACATCGGATATGACAAAAGTTGACTGGATTCGATTCCAATTCACCCTGGACAATCCTGATTTTGTCACCTTTGAAAATTTAGATATTTATATCATATTCAAAGTGTCCAAAATCAAACTGATTTATTGATAGGCTGTTCCCTGAAACACTACAACGAAGTGTTGTCCCGTTTTGAGGCTACGGGATTGGCAGATATCGTACTTGTGTTAAGTATTTCTCTGTATTCGGTCCTCGAAAAACATTCTATGATTTGTGTATCGCAGACGAGACCTTGAAGCAGGGGTTCTCAATGCGGTCCGCCGATGCATATTTTGCGGCCAGCCAAAGATCTTTGATACCCAAACATGTATCATTAAATCTGCGGCGCAACGAATATAAACGTTTTTTAAATTCGGTATCACTCTTCTCATCCCTTACAGCGCATATAAGACATGGATTGTGTCATCACTGAAAACAGATGAATTACGTATTGTTACGTAAAAATTGAGTTACTTAGCTCGCTCATCGCACATTTATCTACTTCGGAAGTGCGCTTTGCAACAGTATTACGCTGCGTCCAACTTAAAAACAATAAGTCATGACATAAAGAGAAAAGAGAAGAAAGTAAACGACGAAAACAGGGTTTTTAAGTCTGCGTGGAACAATGAATTCGCTTTTGCAGAGATAAATGGGAAACCCATGTGTCTTGTTTGTCAAAGAATGGTTGCTGTGCCGAAGCAAGCAAATTTACAACGACAATACAAACAGCTTCAGCCAGAGTTCAAAATTGCATATCCATCTGGTTGTGATCTTAGGAAAAAGATTGTAAAGTACTTGTGAACAGAATGCAGACTCAGAACTCTCATTAAGAATAAAACAATTGTAAAACGTTTTTGTAATTGAAAAACATTGTTGCTGTTGGGCATAATTATATTTCTATGTTGTAAATTTCTGTCATAGTTCTAGCTAGGGGAGAAGTTGCAACTGCAAACTTGCGAATGCTATTGCGAAACTATCTTTTAGAATGCATAAAAATGAAAACAAACAGCATATTATACATCAGTATTGGACTAATAAATGAATTGAATATTACAAATACATGGTAATATTATTCTGTGGCCCGTCGCATCTTTTGTGGTCAAAATGCAGCTCATTTACCTGGGAGGTTGAGTACCCCTGCTCTAAAGTCTATCTAGTATATGTGTCTCGTTTTGTACCTATTTACTCAACTATTGTCAGGAGCTCGCTAAGCAAAATGTTGATTTTGTATATAGTGAAAAAGCTTTTTGTATACTGAAAAAAGTCTCGCAAGTAATATGAACTCATTGTGGAGGTATCGAAGTATTTGGTTACGGATTTCTCCATCATCAAGTCCATGCATCTGAAACAAACAACTAACTAATCCCATACCCAACATGAACTGGTAATTGGACGAGATGCTGGGGTTCGCCGTATAGTTAAGACGTCGTATCAGCTTTTCTCCAACATTCCTCCTAAGACAGGGGTGTGGAACATACGGCCCTCGGACCGCGTCCGGCCCGCGACGACTGTATCCAACCACACTATGCTATGTGGTCCGACGCATCATTCCTGAAAGTTGCTCACCGTACTGTCAGTGCGAGCTGGTGAAATAAACAATTGCCTTGGTGAACAAACAATTGCGTTAGCACACTTGTTAAACAAACAATATAAAATCGAAGCAGAGATCATTGTAAACATTCCCCACTACTGTTATCAGTTATATTTAGATTCTAAATATAATAGATTTTATATTAAGTTTTATTAACCATGGAATATCCCAAGAAACGTAAAGTTGACAGAGAGTGTCGAGTATTTAACAAAGATTGGATACCTGAGTATTTTTTGTAATAATCCGGCCCACCGAGGACTTCATTTTCCCACATCTGGCCCGCCGACTAGAGAAGTTGCCCACCGCTGTCCTAAGAGCTTGCTTAGTTGCGCGGAATAGAAGGCCATGTGAGCTTCAAAAAAAAGGTCTGCGCGGAATAGAAAAGAACACAACATTTTAATACTTATGCAGTGCGCGGCAGAACGAAAGTATTGCGCGGGATTCTCGGCCAGCTGCGCAGCTTAAAGAACGTTACTTTTCTCTCCTAAATATGTAAATCCTGTCTCATGTAAACTCTGCGCTAGATTATACCAGTATATCCATATAATTGTGTACTAGAGCTGTAAAATGGCTGCTCAGCAGTATTGCTTTTTTGTTTTACATTCTGCTCGCAAGTAACAGTAGTGTTTGCTTGTTTAAAATCTATTTTTCCCATTTTTATAGCTGCCCATGTATAGTAGACGAGAGATTTGAGCCCCTTGATACCTCTGATATCAACTTCGATAATATTAAACCATGTTTGTCACTTGATATTGTTGACAATGTATATATATATTAACTTAGGCTGTTAGACCCAAAAATCAATTAACTGTGGCACATTTTAAAACCCTATGACCGCTCTCACCCCTAACCCATTTATATTGTCATTTTCAAAATATTATTACTCGTCTACCATAAGGGCCTTCCTTTATCTTCACTCAAGGCTTTTTAGGAGCGTATGCCTATGTTCTCTGCCGCGAGATGATGCTGCGGAGCAATATTGTTGGCGATAATTTTCGCCTACGAGGTAATGCTTAGAATTTGTGAATGAAATTTCTGTAGTTCAGTAAACAGGGATCCATATGTCTGAGAGAACTAGTTTATGACTAATTATTATCATTCCTAGCGTATTCTCGTGTAAATTTCCAACACAACGATACACAAACCATCCTTCTTAACCGAAACCGCTGACGAGTAATTCAAAATTGTATTTATTTATGTCAGTTGTTGCGCGTTGCGCGTCGAGTAATTTACAATAAGTACTGTACAATGAGTATCAGAATGTGATGTTTATAGTTATTATTATAGGTGTAGAGTAGGTCGTTATAAGGCATAAACAAGCAGCGTGTATCTGTATACAGTTACACTACTAGAAAGAAACTGAAAATTATTTTTA